ATGGGGGCCAACTGAACAAAGACAGTATTTCACTGTTGCCTGACAGGCAGCTGCGAAAGTATTTACAGCCTCACTGCAATGCGGCAAAATGGACCCTGGAAGACAAGCACAAGCAGAAGCCTAAGAACATTATATTCACTAAGATTCAATCTGTGTTCTCTAATTTGACAATGCACATATCTTACATAATTCCTGCATGCGTTTGTTATGTGTAATTATGTAAAACAATGTCTAACCGCAGGCCCTGCACACATTTGAACAGATAGCAGTTTCCATGAATGGACGTGGTTTCCCCTTTTCACCCTTATTCAAATCCCCCCAGAGATGTGGTTTAGGTCCAATATTAGACTCTTTTGGATTGTTGTGTGACATAATGAGAGCTTCTGTAAACAAATCTTCCTTCCTATTTAGTTATAGGAAACCTAAAAAGTCCACTAGTTATTATTTATGTTTAAATGTTTTCCAGTTAGACAAACTTATTTATTCATCGATCATTTATCTGTATCACTATCCCAATAATCACGAGCAACACGTCTGTTTCACTTTATCTGCTTAATGTTAAGTAATAACGTCTACACTGCAAAACATGCTCATATTCTCATGGCAACCAGTTTTATATTCAGTCCAAATTTACAAAATTATGGAATTTAGCAGAAAGACTCAGATCATTCTTCTTGTGTCAATTGAAGTTTTATTTGTTTCAAGAACTTGAACCGAGCCTCATCACTTAATTAAGTCTATTTAATTAAACGAATATGGAAATAATTTGCTCTTCGTTCTTGCACATCTGTCTCAACAGTTTAATGAAACACATGATTAGGTGAAATCACATTTGAGTATGGATGGACATTTTTTGCAGTGGAAAATGGGGGGAAGTCGTTAAACCGCCAGCAGAAGGCGCTGTTGCCCAACACTCAGCCTCTCTGCTCCCATTCAGGAGTATTTGACTAGCAGGTTCCTGAGCTCAGTGATTGGCTGAGATACGTGGTCATGTGAACTGGTTCGTTTTTGAAAGTGGTCTGTGGAGAATTGTGTGTATGAAAATGCAAAAGCAATAATTTTCAGCCTGCTGCTTGTGTCAGCTGCTCTGATTATGTGCGTGAGTTTTGTGTTCTACGAGTTTATTCCCCCAAAAGGCATTTATTGTCATTGATTCATCTTATACCGACAGCACAGTTGATCCTTTGTTACTGTATCTTCATTGACAGCAACTCTATCAACATTTGCACGCAGATTCTTGAGAGGTGAAACTGCATGACATCTTCCCCATGATGTTGATGATGTTATAAGAAATTGTCTTTCAGAAAAATGATGGAACTGAAAGTAAAATGACTACATTTATAGTACAAAAATGCCATTAAACCACAGAAAACATACTTACCAACTATGCAGGAACTATGTGAGTGCAGCCACTCCTAAACCTCCCAGGAGGCCTTGGGTTTAACCCTCACATTATCTCCAGGGAAATCATTTTTATGAGGACATGCATGTAAAAAAGTGACAAGCCGTCTGATTTGATGCTCATCCATTTATCATACATGCCCCACAGTGGCAGCCAACCCAACCTCAACATCACCATTCCTCTCCAGCTCTCACAGGAAAGGAGAGGAGGAGCGCGCACGCTCTGCACTCTGGGTCTGGCCCGGAAGAATGAATGACATCAGTCTTATTGTGTCACGTTCACTGGGGAAAAATGTATTTGAGCTTAAATCGGTGAGGCATGTTTGATGTTTTTTGTTCACACGTCAGGTCAAAAGGATTCAGTGAGATGATATAATCAGATCTTTCCAATAAGTAAGCGAAATCAGCCGAGGCTAAGTGTAATAAGTGAAATAAATTAAAATTCTTGAATTAAATAGCCTAACTGGAGAACAGGTCACAGGCTGATCATTAGATTGCAAATATTAATTAATCAGCGACCCAGCTGACTTTGTTTGTTCAAACACTGGTAACGTATAAGCTTGATGCAAAACATAAAAAAACTACGATGCCAAAAACAATCTATTTTGTCCCAGTGCACCTCTGTTCCTATTTCTATTACTACAGTTGGGCTGCAACCTCCCAGCTTCCTCTTTTCTAGGACTTTTCCTCAGTGCACATTAGTGTAATCGGCGTTATTGAGTAAGTGCAACTTTGAGGATTATTTATGGACATGCGCGCGGTTGTGAGTGGCTGTGAGGAAACACGTGATGCCATTAAAGTTTGTTTTATGGCCCGGGACTTGACAAGCCAAAATATAATTCTCATTGTGTATTAGTTAGACGGTCCAGATGGGTTGGAATAGAGCTTCATTTGGCAGGGAGCTGCAGCAGGCTGACTTTTCCTTCAGCATGGATGTTTTTGTTGCACGGTGTGCCATGTGTTGCGGTCTCTGTGGTAAGCTGTGTTTTATCATAATGCTCGTGGTATGAGCGTGTGATGTCACACGCATAATGCTCAGGCTACACTGTTTCCTGCCTCTAAAAGCGGCAACAGTGCTTGCTGCAGGACAAACCGTTAGATGATGCTCTGCTGTGAGGAAATTTTAATCGTACTACTGTGCTGGAGCTTGTTTGGGGTTTAAACCTTTTAAGACTCAATCAATGCTTTTGTCGGATGATTATTATTGTTATTCAAGTTGGCATTCTGATTCACTGCTAAATGATGCAGTGACTTGATAGCTTTGGTTCGTGTTTGCTTGGAGGCAGAGTGATCAACCTGTTGTCACTAGACTCGTGCTTTCATGAAGAATTTGGTGAAATTTCTTGAGAATGTTAAAACAATACAAGTGTATGTGCGAATCAGCATCTGTTAAAATTGCCATAATTCACAATTCGTTTGTGCAACAATCTGAGCTTCAGTTTTAACCACAGTGAAATTTATAAACAACTCAAAACAGCACTGAGGTTACAACAATAAAAATCAGTTTTCTCTTTTTCATATCATGTGGCTGCTGTTTTATTCACAGTAGGCCTAATGCATTTCTTTTGGAGGCCTTCAAATGATTAATTTCATCAGTCATTGTTAAAAATGCAGTACAAATGATTAAATAATATTTGGTACAAAGTTGACAAGGAATTAAACTTTTAATTTTTATTATCAGTCAAAGAGCCCTCCCATAACTCGCCCGATAATTAGATTAAATAGCCCTTGGTTTTTTCTGTTGCTCTCAAACGCTCAATTGGAGCTTTTTGATAGTAAAAGCTTGGAATTCTAATGAAAAAAAGAGTCAAGCTGAACTAGTTGGCCTTTCGTTTAACACAAGCTGCCAGGAAACGCTGACTTTATCATTCTTTTGTGAATCTCGGCTTTGACCCGTCTGAAGGACTAGCAGGGCAAGGTGAAAGGCAGGTCAGGCTGTCTAACTAAGACTGAAATGTGAAGTGCAAGAACGCATTTTTACAACGTATTATTTATCTTTTTGGAACAGGCCTACTTGAAACGAATATTATTATTTTTTTTGTTGAAGCTTGAATGGAAATCTGTAGAGAGGAGATAAAACCCTCCATCTGCGTTATGACATAGCCTATGAGGAAAGGATTTACTTTATACTAGAAGGTGCAGTAATGCGTTTTATTCTCACCTTTTGAAGGCCTGTATGATAACTTTAAACTTTACAACATGCATCTGGCTGAAAATGTAACTGTAGCTGAAACGTTACATTAAACTAAACGACTTAATGCACCATCCAGTGAATAACCAGTTAGTAAAATATTCTTACATGTCTTTTCTTCTTATTGAAGAAGACAACATGGCCCGTGTGACTGGTCCAGTGCCACATTTGGCCAAATGTGCTTCAAAACAAGTGTCACCTAAATTTAGACCTGAGAATATAATTTATTGTTTAAATCTGACAATACTGATCTGACAAATAATACTGACTCAAGGTGTAGGCTACAGGATTAGTAATAATTCGTAATAAATAAACTTGTTTTTTGTTATAAACTCGCTCACATTGATATAGGACTAGACCTAGGTTGTTTGGGTTAAATTATAATATTATAATATTTTATATAGGTTATTTTTGTGTGCTTGAAAAAACATTTTGCTGGTCTTGTTAATTTAGTAAATTAATGACCCATTCCCATTCTCAGCTTAAATTCATCTGTAAGGTTTTTTCACCAGAATGACATTCAGTAGCCATGTGGTTTAGTTAATGCTTGAGGAGGAATTGGTAAACTTTTGCACCCTTTGAGCTGTCACCAGGGCCCAAAATAATTGAATTTTTTGATAACTTTGTAAATGATGTAGTTTGACCCCTGTGGCCTCTATCCTCATCTCTCGGGTTGTGATGATGAACTCTCCTATATTAGCGAGCGAGTATCTAACGGTTATGTCGTTATGCTTATCTTTGATTATGACGTGACAGCTTGCAAAGTGAAAAGCTATTTACGTTATTTAAAGCAGAGGCTCTTTTTTCTTATTGTGAACTTGGACTATGATGGAGGGAAGAGGACCTACTGAGCAGAAACCTGTGCTGACCTGAGATGCTGGCTGATATTTTCGTTCAGTATGTTGTGTCATTCTCTGTACAGAGGAAGGAGCAGCGGCTGACATGAGTTTTTAAGCTACTGCATTGCCAGTTTTGGTTTAAACTAACAACGCAATGGTCACACAAAACCCTAAACTCAAGGAGATGTTTCTTCCAGGGACATACATTAAAAATAAAACATCGAAATGAAAGAAAAAGGCTCCTTCAGTGAGTGAAAAATAGTAACAAGTTAAATAGAATATTTAATTATATCCTCTAATAGAACTTCTTCAGATCTGGTTTTGATGCATGACTCTTCTGTAACTTTGTTCCTGTGATGTTTTTTGTTTATCCTGACTGTGGAAAGCACTTTGTAAATTGTGTTTGGCTGAAGTGCTCTACAAATAAAGTGCTGTGGCTAAACGTGGGCAGTGTCGCTTGCCGTCGTCTATATATACCCTGTAGAACCGAATTTGTGTGATAAAACCAGTCACAGATTCGATTCTAGGGGAGTATATGGTCGATGAAATAACTTCGATGTATTGACTTATTGTCTCATTATCAGGCCGTGTGGTGTCTGATGTGCTGTCAGACGCTGCAGTGACAGTGTTGGTTTTATGAATGAGAATAAATCTGACATCACCACATTCTTCATAAGAAGAGCTTGGGGCATTTTTAAACTATATAGACTTAAGGAGCATCTGAAGCAAAATGTTTCACATGAAAATAAACATAATTAAGAATCAGCCTGCATTTCTTTTTGAATGAAACACCAAGTGGATGTACCAAAAGAAACTCACAGCACTCTCCATCTGTACAGCTGTAGCGTTTGTGTCTCTACATTATTGATTCCCAGAGTCTGCTGCTGCTGGCCAGTAGGCTCCTGAGACAGTTTTTTTTCAAAGGGATAGGAGCAGATGAAGTGATGAGATTCGTGTAACTTTTGGATGACCCCTTCTTGACAAAGACAGTCTCCATCAATTGTCCTCTGTCATTATTCCCTCCTTTTATGCCATGGGGCTTTTTGTACCTTTTGTTGCTTTCTCTGTTGAACACCGTGCCTTCAAGTTACACCTTAGAAACTGATATATTTTATATCTTCTCAGATAAAACACTCTATGCACCATCAGCGTTTTTATGTTTATTTGTTTGTATAATTTTAAAGTAATTAAATGTTTAAGTAAGGTATTTGATTTTTCCATTGTATCATTGTATCATCCAAATGTGCACGCGGATGTTTCAGGCCAATATTTGTTTTTTTCTTTCCACCAGGGTCTAATTTTGGTTTATCTTTAGTTAGATGACATTGCTTTTAGTTGTATGTTTACCCGTTTATGGACCAGCATCACCTCTATTGGCCGATCTGGTCACATGGTTCGCTAACTTTATTCAGTTGACACCAAGTAGGAGGGCTTTATGGAGGGAGGAAAAAAAGACAACTCGAGAAAAATTAGTATTTTCTACCTTCAGAAATTAATGGCCATGAGTTCGTATATGGTGAACTCTAAGTATGTGGATCCAAAATTTCCTCCCTGCGAGGAATATTCACAAAATAACTATATACCTGACCAGGGATCGGACTTCTACAGTCCATCGCAGGACACAGACTTTCAGCATCCAGGGATCTACCCACGGTCAAACTACACGGAGCCCTTCGGCTGCAACACTGTGCAGGACTCCACTGTGCAGCCACGGGGTCATGTGCGCGAGAGATCCAGCCACCCGAGCTCTTTTAGCATACAGACTGAGCAGAGGACCCCGGTCCAAGTGCCCGGACCCAGGACTTGTGGACAGCAGCAAAACACAAAGAGCCAAAATGGGATACAAGCCAAGCAGCCTGCAGTAGTTTACCCGTGGATGAAGAAAGTCCACGTAACTACTGGTAAGATTTCCACGTCTTCTTCCTCTTCCCTTATGAACCAGCTGAGACCTGCACTTTAAAATCATTCAGTGTAATATTTATGGGAGTCTTTGAAAGGCCTCGCCAATTACACAAGTCATAAATTTTTATAGCTCAGGAAATAGGCCGCTAGGTGAGCGCCTGAAAGCTCCTGAAAACACATATTGACCGGTTGTAATGGTGCTTAAATCTGCAGCAAATCTGCTTAAATCCAGATAAAATCATCCATTATTTACTGCTGTCGTTTCCTTGTGAATTTTCTTTAAGTTTGAGCTCCCCCCGGGTTACAGAGTCTCCTCTTGTTATATTGTTTGTGTGTGCATTCTGCATGATGCATTGGCCACATTTGGTGACTTTTTCTGCTTTGTTTTCTTTCTCCTAGTGAACCCGGATTACACAGGGCCAGAGCCCAAACGGTCCAGAACAGCTTACACCCGGCAGCAGGTTTTGGAGCTTGAAAAGGAGTTTCATTTTAACAGGTATCTGACCAGGCGGCGACGGATTGAGATTGCCCACACTCTTTGTCTCTCCGAAAGGCAGATCAAAATCTGGTTTCAAAACAGACGGATGAAATGGAAGAAAGATCACAAACTACCCAACACCAAGGGCAGATCTGCACCAGTCCCCAGTCATCTGCAAAGCACTCAGAAGGATAACCAGACTGATATCACAACATTATAAGAGAGAAAGGTGTCACACCTTTGTAGAAATTAACTGTACATAAAAAAGACAGATTGCATTCGACTTTTGCATGGACTGATGTCATTTTTAGCCATTTTTTTATTTAACAAAAATGACCCCAGCAGCATTGACTCAAGACTGAGTGAGAAAATCAGGTCAGCCTTGAGTTTTGAAAGTTGACCCTGTTTCTTGTTTTAATTTCCTCAAAGAGACTCAAAAACATCGAAACAAACTTTTCAATTTCCTTTTATTTTTTTATTTTTTGGACGTTGCCCACCTGAGGACATTTAATGAGCAGCCTCGGCTGATTTCATGGATTTAAACAAAGTATTTATGCTCTTCTCACATGGATTCACGCTGATTTTTGAATTGCTCTATTCAGAACAGGGAAGCCCTTCGTTCAAATTCCACGCAAACAAAGGTTATTTCAGTTTTTTCTCCTATTGAAACTCCAGATAAAACGCACAATATATATATATATATATATACTTGAAGCAAACAGTATTTGCATAGAGCACGCCTAATACAACCTACTTTCGTAAGTTGCAAAAAATCCCGTTGACTCTCAGTTTCTTTGTGACTCCTATGTTTTAACTTATTTTGTACAAAAAAGCTTTGAATTTTTTTAGCCTAAATATTATTCCAAAAAGCAAGACATTCCTGTGTGCATACTATTCTGAGTGCCCTTATAAATCTCTCCTGACATCTTTGTAAACAGTGTATATTTTCAGAGGCGCTCTCCTGCCATTTGAAACTCTTATATGAAAGCTCATTTGTTCTTGCATGTGGCATCAAATTGATATTGGATGTTTCTCATCGGAAATAATCAAATCCAGAATATTCAGGAGTATAATTGTTTATTCTTCTTTAATCTGATTTTTACGTCATTATTTATTTGTTCAAAAAACCCTGTAAATTTTCGTATAGCACACATACAATTTTAATTAAAAGAATTCGTTTGATTTTGATTAATCTAAAATGTGTTTGAACTTCTTTGCATTAATTGCATGGCTTTATGCAACGTTTTAGTCTTAGTTAATGTGGGAATCGTAGAGTTTTCCATTTACTCCGAGGGGGGCTTTCACGTCACGTTTCAAGACAGATATTTTTTTTGTTTTATACCGTCATTGTCTTCGAACAAAAAAAGCCCAGAAGCTCTCCCAGAACGAAGAGGTCTTCACTGTGAAGTCTTCACCATGAGAGGCTTGAAAAGGTATTTCAACCGAAGGTCGACAAAAGCAGCAGTGGCAGGTTCATCCAGGGGACACATTTCAGCCGCAAGGACTGACCCCAACACCCCTGACCCGCCGGACAAGCAGCATTTTCTCTCCCAGGCGCTGTTGGCTTTGCTTTGGAGGGTTTTTTTCCACACTTACAAAGCTAAATCCTTCGAAGCAAGAGTCAGTGCGTGAAATCCAGAGTTGTACACGTGTTTTAACACTATTTATATCAGGCGCAGCCCTAAAAGATTCTGATTTGTGCGTTTGTCTCCTCATGTCAATATGCAATCTTTTTTTTTTTTTTTTATTTTTTTTATTTTTGTACATGCTTTTTACCTTGTATTGTGCATTGAGATGCGAGACGTATATTGGAAAAAATAAAGATTTTTACTGAATATGCCTTTAAATGACTGCAAAGGGCACTTTGTCGCCAGACTTTTATTTCCCCCACTCCAGAAATATTTAATTTTGAGTTTATTTTCCCGGGCACACTGAGGCATTTTATAATTTCTCTGATTGCTCAAAACTACATTTTGTTTTCAATTTTTTTTTTAGTGCCTTTCGTTCTGCGCAAATAACAAAAAGGTCTCTTTTGGTGGGAAAGGATATTTTCTTCAGTGGTAACAAGCACGTGGAGCCATATGGAGCTAAGCCCCCTTTTACAAAACACACAAACGCACCAAATGTGCGCTCCATGGACAGACAGCCTCTTCTCCTGTCAAGCATGAAATTTATGACCATACATATATTATTTGTCTATGACAAGCATATCTTTAAAAAATGAAGAAGAAAAGAGTTTTTACCCTGGCTTGTCTTAATTTTCGCTCATCAGCTCCTATCGTAAGGAGCGCATGACTGCGCAAAAAACATCCTCTTAAGCTCTCAGTTGAGCTTTTCAAGGTGATTTTATTGAATAAAAACTGCGTTTGGATTCTTATATGATGCTGAATTGAGTCTTTATTGGAAAACAATCGTTACACGAGTCTTTTATTACAGTATATAAACACAAATAAAGTTTACTGGCCTGGGATATTCAGGCTAATGCAAACAGAGGTGGTGGTCCTGCTCCAAAACCAGATTACAAGATACACACATTTATCTGTAACAGTTTTAGAATATAGGCATCAACACAATGAATTACTACATACATTTGATATTAACCCCCCCCCCCCCCACTGAATATGACCCACTGGCAACACTGACCTCCAACCCTTCACACTACAGAATCAGTCCTCATACAGACAAAAGCGGTCAGAAACAGACATGTGGAAAGAAGATCTTCAGTCACTCAGCAGTGTTTTCATCCCCAAGTGACAACTGTCTCATCCCCACTGAGCACACGCAGGCCTATAGGCGTGCACAGGCGCTTATATGTCTGTGTGTATGTGGTGCAAAATACAAGATATAGATTCAGAGAGAAGCTGAGACAAAGTGATGCCACCAATCCACCATCCTGCCATAAATGATCTGTACATAGATGCTGAAGAAAGAGGGGGGGAGAGGGAGATGGGAGGGGTGGGGGATGGGATGGGGGGTGTCATTGGCATAATTGGACAACGAATCTACCTAATATACATTACTAGTATTTTAAGGTAACTAGTGATTGCTAATTTATATTTATCAATTTGCACCATTTAATATACAACCTGAGTAGTCTGAACTCCTGGTATTAAAAAATGAATAGAAAGGAAATATATCATAACACAGTTTCCCCCAGTAATTACCAGGTCAGAGCAGCCTACTATACCGCGTACAGTGTAGCCACACTGACCTACATGTCTGAACAGCAATAAATGGGAGCCAAAGGCAGTGCCATTTTCAATGACACTGCACCCAGTGCAGGAATACAACGTCGTCGCTCTCCATCCGGCCATATTTGATTTCCAGCTGTTTTCGCAGAAGCCTCTCCGAGCCAGACAACCCCCCTAAGATATATTAAAGTGCGCTGTCTGCATTCAGAGATATAATCCAGAGACTATACCACTCCGCTCTCTATTCTCGACCACGTGATTGTCTAAATAATTAATGCAGCACGTCCCCCTAGAAACACGGCGTCGTCATTAATCGCAAGGACTCTATCAGACTTGAAAACTGAAGAGATCCCCCAAGAAAATAATATCCGATACCCGGCGCAACCGTAGCCCCGCACTTTAGCGACACATCCGAACCGATGGATGCTTGGGTAGGTAAATATTTCAGCATTTTTCATGTAGCCCGAGCTGGTAAATGACGATATCAAATGTCCTGATATTTGATAAATTGCTCCCTTTGATGTGTGCGCCCTGAGCAGGATTGTATCGGCTGTGGTTAGTCACTGTGTGCATGTCTTCTTTAAAAACAAAAACAAATATAGCCTACTAGAAATGATAGAAATTTTGTTTGGATCTTGCGGTTTACGCAAATATCTTGAAATGGATTGATAGCATTAAAGGTAAAAACTAAAGGGCAGTGACTTTTATGGATGCTCGCTCTGAACAGATGCTCTTTCCAACACATTCATTTCAATGTGACCCCTCCATAGGGCCCACTGATTCTTTATTAAGAGTGTAATTCAGATTTTTTTTTTTTACGATTTTGGTCCAAAAATACAAAAAGGAACTAAATATTTTAAAAAGACACAGCATTAAAATTATGAATGGCTGTCTTGTTTGCTAAGTAGAACTTTATACCTTGATTTATAGTTTAAGTTTTTAACATTAGATAAAATAACAGGTTATTTGTCTTTCCCCCTGGCTTGCAGTCCATTTCTGCTGTTTTTATTATTAGTCGGGGTGATTTCATTCTGATTTCAAAGAAGTCCTGGAAGTTTGGGCAGGCTGACAGTTCTGCCTCCTTGTAAATCATTCTCAGTAATTCCTGAAAGGGTGCGAGGCTGTTGGGGGGCCGGGCGAAACTGTAAATCTTTCACTTTTATTACCCTCTGAACATACGCTGCGACGCGAACAGTCCTGCATCCCTTCTACTTCTTCTTCTTCTTCTTCTTCTTCTTCTTCTTCACAGCAGTGATAACCCACCGCTGAAGCAGCCGACTCTCTCCCGCTCCAAATCTTACAATCCATTCTGGTCTTTTCCAATAACTTAGATTCATTTAGTCTGCTGTGTTATGTTTTTCCACCCCTGATTGATATTGAGAACAATGCAGGAGAATGGCTCTCTCACTCTTTGTGTTTCAGTAGTGTGTGAGGACAGACACAACAAACAAAAGATGATAACTTGGTTTATTTGAATATAATCAAAATCCCAGTTGGAAGGGGGACCCACACGTCGCTTATTTCATAAATCATTTTTAAAATGCACATCTAGCAAACAGGACATCGATAGAAATAGTATTGTTTAACAATTTAATCCAAAACTACACAACTGCGGTGCGTTTAAGGCCCCCAGTTACACGTTTTATTGTGAAATTGCAGGCAGTTTCTTTTTTAAGAACAAGTGAGGAGAAAATCTACAAAATGCTGGAAATTTCCGCTGGCATATAAAGAAAATGCACAGAAATCCGTTACAGCACTATAGATGCTGCAACTGCTGCACTGATAGAGCCTGAGGATGTGTAAATCTGTGTCATTAGTAGTTTAACAGCAGCATATAATGTAATGCTGTTGTTTAAATACTGAAGTGCAGGCGAGTTGCATTTCTCGCAATTCTAGAGGAGATGAAAAAGAAATAGGCAGTGGAACATTTTCACACAGTTCAGATGAGGAAATAAACGCCACCCTCTATCAAAATGGATTGGTGAGGTAAGGCTCGGTTGAAGAAGAGAACAATCACGTGAACAAATATGCTTGTATCTTAAGGCAGCGCCTTTATTTGTCATCACAAAGCTCCCGAAACAACCAAAAAATCCTAATGTTAGCTCCAAATCTGCACAGGCCTATCCGGTTCTGAATTCCTGTATGTTTCAATGGTGATTGATTGCCAGGGATTTTTTTTCTGGAATAAGGATACCTTGTTCGCTTTTTATTGGTAGTTGAATGCGAGTCCTTCCATTCTTTCGGGAATACTGTCTCCACTGGTATATGGAAATGTCTGAAAAACAGCAAGATCAGGTTTAGGACAGCATTGTCTACAGACAAAGGGTGAAGGATTTATTCTAGAGACTGCGTGGAAAGGAACCGAGAGGTAAACTGCTTTATGATGAATTGATTCACAGGTAAGCAACTACATGGCAGAAAGCAACCTTTAACCAGGGGTTAATATAATGCAAGGAAATATATATGATTTATTCCACTCAAAGGAGGTGACGCTTGTTAATGTCGCTCTCGTCGGCGACCGTGCGGATATTAAGTCCACAGCTACCTATTCATAAATTTCTTTTCGAGAATGCCTGTTCAAATATTATCGACAGATTGAGCCTGAGCTCCTCTGCGCTTTTCAGCTGATTTCACGTTTCGATGAAAACCGGCTCTGAGGAAGAAGTAGGAAAGGAACTTTTCTTTTTGACTCTTGGATCGTAAATCACATTAATTTGTTGTCTTATCGTCACTGTGGCGTTTGCCGTGATTTATGTGGTTTCAACTTATATGGCTTTGTTAACCTGCAACGTTTTTTATACATGAATTCATATTTGATGGTTTTAAAGGATTGTCAGACTGGATATTGAACAAGGATAAGATTAGATTTTCACACTATTTGCATACGTTTGGGCTTACTTGTATTTGGTTAATTGTGACGCATCTGGATATAATTTATTCTTCTTTGAAGTGTTGGGAATATAGCCTACAATTGGCCTGAGTCGCAAAGACAATAAAACCTTATATTTATGTTGACTATTCCATTTTGCTTATATTCTGCTAACAGCTTCTTAACTGTTTTACAATGGTTTGGGGTTTAATTTATGAGCTCTACGTCTTTATAAGCGACACACTCATCAGTGTGTGTCTTTGCAGAATGGCTGCTGAATTTATACCCAAATCAACAAAAAGCAGTGTTACAACAAAACATATTGCTGCGATTGCATTTTTGTGAGCAGCTTGTATTTTCTCCAGGAAAATAAGACGTTGTATTTTACAACATCGCGGTAGAGACAATATTATTAAATTAGTATCCATGCAATCATTTCTTGGATGTAACACACATTTTCCAGCAACAACAAAACGCCTGTCTAAAGGCTGTTTAACTTGAAATATGGAGAGAATTTGAGGGGCTAACCAGGAGAAAGACTTACTGGGATAATAACACTCCACATTGAGTCCGGCCCATTGTGTGAACCAAACTTACCGTAACAACGCGTAGGCGAAAAACACTGCTGTTTGAAAAGAGGATCATGTCTGCTACTAGTAGCCCAGTGTGCTCAAAAGCACTTCAGGCTCAGATTATCGACCAGCTTTAACAAATAGTCCACATCGAAGGAATCTTAAATCTCCATGTTCATATTTTGAGTAATTATCCTCAAATA